CCTACATGGCTTAAACCAACAGTCAGAGACTTCATACATTGGTGCCATGTTTTAGTCTGGCCACCTCGGGCCTTTTTCCAGCCTGGACCCACCTCAGCCAACATTGTGTGACGAGGCAATCGGTGACTAGGCATACGTAGTACGTGTCCCAACCATCTCAGTCGATGAAGGTTCACAACCTCGTAAACTGACTTACCTCTTCTCCCTAAAACTCTACACCTAACTTCTGCATTACTCACATGGTGACACCACGGAATACGTCCTATACTACGAAGGCAACGGTGGTCAAACACCTGAAGCCTTCTCATGTCTTCCACTTTCAATGGCCATGTTTCACAGCCATACAGTAGAACAGAGCGGACTGCTGTGCAGTACACGCGACCCTTAATAGACAAACGAATATCACGGCGGCGCCATAGGTGGCGCAAATTGGCAAAAGCCAATCGAGCCTTTTGTATCCGTGCAGAAATCTCATCGGCAACTAACCCACCGGGTTGATCCTACTTCCCAGGTAAGTGAAGTGGTCAACACACTCAACCACTTCACTCTCTATTGTTAACCGCGGTACCGCTGAAGACCAGTCCTGGAGCAAAAATTTGCATTTGGGTGGTGAAAATCGCATCCCAAACATTCTCAAATTCCCACTCAAAGTGTTCAGAAGACTCTGCATCTTGTCAGCGTCTTCACCTAACAGGACTATGTCATCTGCATATTCTAGATCTAAGGAAAATTCACCTGTGATCGGGTCAACGTCTTTGTAATTAGGTGACGAGAGGGAAACCTCCATAAGAATATCTATGATAAAATTAAATAAGAATGGGGATAGTGGGCATCCTTGACGGACACCACTTGATGAGTATAGCTCCCTGGACAACTCACCATAGGCTCTAACATGCCCACAAGTGTTCGAGTAGAGAGCTTTCAATAAGGTGATGTACTTACTAGGCACGCCTTTCAGTGACAGACACTGCCATAAGACTTCTCGATCAACGGAGTCAAATGCCGCCTTCAGGTCGAGAAATACAGCTATTGTCGGGCGTCTGTAAGCATGCCTATGTTCCAGGACCTGGCGCAGTGTGAATATTTGGTCGATACATCCACGGCCAGGTCTAAAGCCTGCCTGGTTTTCTCGGGCTTGCTGTTCCCGAGCTCCACTCAGGCGTCGGAGAATTATAGAACTTAGGATCTTAGACACTATGTTTGTCAGGCTGATTCCTCTGTGGTTATCACAAGAGGACTTCTCGCCTTTCTTGAAGACTGGGATGATGAGTGACTTAGACCAGTCGGAGGGGATCGTATTTGATTCCCATATACTGGCTAACACTTCCGTTAGCCTGACTAAGAGAACTCTACCACCATTCTTGTATACCTCAGCAGGTAGTCCGTCTGGTCCTGCTGCCCTTCCCGTTTCAGGCTACCTACCGCTTTCTCAACTTCTTCTAGTGTTGGGGGACCTGTCTCTATGTCCCATTCAGGGTCCGACTGGATAGCGGGCAGCGCAATGGTGGCTGGAGGCCAGTTAAACTGTTCCTCGAAGTGTTCTGCCCATCGTCCCAGTCGCCTTCCCTGCGAGTGAATCGCCGATCCGTCCTTCTCCGCTATAACCTCACTAACTGTTGTTGACCATTTCCCCCCAGTCTCCTTAATAAGTCTAAATAACTGTCTACTGTTACCGATCGCCGCTGCCTTTTCCATCTCTTTAGCCTTTGCTGCCCACCACTGTTCACGATCGTTGCGCAGACTTTTCGTCAGTTTATTTTTAAGTTGCGCTCGCTCTTCATTGTACTCAGAGCCTGCAGGGATGCATTCACGTGCATCCATTAGTTTGGAAGAAGCTGCTGATATCCACTGGCTCTTTTTAGCCATTATCTTGGAGTCGGCTACAGTCTCCAGTGCTGCTTTTACAGTAGACTGAAGATGGCACCAAGCTTCTTCTGGATGAGTGACAGTCTTTTGTTCCGATAACTGCCTAGCCAACTTCTCACTGAACACGGCTTTGGTGTTTTCGTTGTCCAGCAGAACTCGTAGTGGTTTTGTTGCCAAATTTTTTCTACGTCCATTGAGACGCAGGCATATACGTGCTCGGACCAACGCATGATCGCTGTCCAAACACGTACTCCAGAAGGAGCGGCAGTCTTCCACCGATCCTCTCCAGCGATGACTAATAGCAATGTGGTCTATTTGTGTCCATCGCTGTGATGATTTCTTGGTTTCCTCAAGAACAGAAAAAAGCAATAAGAATGATAAAGGTTTATTATTCAGTCAAAAACGTAACTAAATTAACAGTTTATATACATTTGTTGATGATTTTAGAAAGTTCTACACTTTTCTAGATGACCCTTTGACCAGTCTGAGTGTCACACGTATGATCACGTGATTTTTCTTGAACTTTCAACATGCTACAACTAACTATGAAGGCTTTTCAGGGATTTCAAAGCTTTTAGAGGATACGGCAATAGTGTAACAGTGTGTTGCAATCCTCATGGACTGAGATCAGTTTGAAAATCACTGGAAACCTTGGAATACCGAAAAACCGTTTCCTCCCATTATGCGACTCCCCAGCAGTGTGCATCCATGACCCTGGCAGCTGTCCAATGCTGCCAGATCTTTTAGTGTTTATCTAACTATCAGTCTATCTATCTATCTGTCTAACTGTCAATCCATAATGAATGTCAACCTGAGATCGATGAGCAAGTTCCCCTAAACCTCCGAATTGAATAACACATCAGAGTTTGAGTATTTTAGATATTCTAGTAAGGTAATGCTGTCCAGGTGTTCCCCTGACAACTACGCCGTGACATTTAATCGCTGTTTTTTCTTCGACATTGGTACACTAAATAATATAAAGCTTTTTGCAATTCATTCGTTATAAATTATCTATGATCTGTAGTGTGACCTAACAGCCTGCGATGGATACGAACGTAACAGGGAAACAAATTGACTTTAAATGTTAATCAGAACGTTAGTCAATACGACAGTAATAACATCGACAACACCGAAGACAAGAAGAGAAGAGGGATCGTTGAAAGGATGCTTTTACTATCTCAACAACAGTCAAAACAGTTGAGAATGATGTTGAATATATACATTTCTAAATGACCTTGACAGTATTATATTCACTGATAAATTGAAAATGTTAACAACCAATGAAAGTTCAGCGTTTAGAAGGGTATGAAAGACAATAGCTATTAGTGTTGTATGAAAACAGTAATAATAAAATTATTTTATAGTTTTAGGCAAATTTAACGGTGTATAATAAAATTTAACGCGTTAATTTATACCTCATTATGTTTCAAAGGATATTTGAATGAACAGATAATATTCTTATCAATGACCTTCTCTTCAATTCCTACAGTTGTATATCCATATTGCGTAATTTTCTATCGATAATATATTAAGATTTCATTTATTATTATAATTTTTCCCTTGGGTTCTTAATGGGCTTCAGTAGAACGCCTGCATACATTTCTTCTTCACACACCATCTCCTCTATATCACCCACCCTCAGCTGGGATGCCAAACTCCTCGTTTCGCATCTGGGTTCCACTCCAGTGTCTGACACGTGATATCCCCAGTCTACGTTCTCAGTGTATGCCCAATCCCTCTCCACTTCCTGTCACCTCGTCAGTAAGGCGTATCTACAACCTCAACGTAACTCATAGTCCACCTCACAAATAGAATTCGGTCTGCACTCAGGACTAGAAAACATGCAATTGATTCCACTTCTGTGACCAATCAATACATTTAATCCAGTTCGAATAGCTCAATAGTAAATTCTCTGACTACAACATTGGATAACATGTATTCAAATCACAGTAGGATATAAGTTCCATCGAAGTTGGAGAGACGCCTTGTTGATAAGTGCCAACAAGCATGAAACCTAGATTGACGACTTCCTGTAACTCGTCTCCAACCAACCAACCAACCAACTGAATGTATACGGGGCGAACCTGCAAAGAGACTTTGAGAAACCTACACCTCCTAACATGACATACTGAAAACAAAATAATTAGTTAGGTTAATCCTAAAGGATTAATGTGATAATTCATAGACCGTATCAAAGTGCTACTAGAGGTATCCAAACAACATGTGATGTAAACTTCAATCATCTTACAAAATTCCTAGTGCTTTTCGTGTAGATTTGCAGTCAAGATATCAAAAGTTACTTTTTAAATTATGACATTGACAAACATTTATCAACACTATCGCCTTCATGCATAAATTTCACTTCATTTCTAACAGTCTAGCTGAATTACTTACCTATCCAAATAAATATGTTGATATATTTCGCTTTGAAAATCTTTATGCATACATATTATTATTATAATTATTATTTGTCGCTTGGGTTCCTAATGGAAAAATGGCTTTTGTAGCACGTCTCCATTCCACCGTGTTTTCAGCAATCTTTTGAACCTGCCTCGACGACACCTCAGAAGCTCTAATTTCCTCCTCGCACGATCTCCTCCATATCACCCTCACCTCGAACGCCCAACTCGTCTTTAACCATTTGGGTTCTACTCGACGATCTGCCCTGGGCATGATGTCCCCGAACGGTCATTTCAGTGCAAGCTCAATCAATCTCCACTTCGTTCCACTGCATATTTGTTGGGTGATAGGTTCTTGATTCGTTAGTTCGTTGCCAGCCAGCCAGTCAGAGTTCCTTGTTGCTTATTCTCATTATTCTCACCATCTGATCTTTAGTATCGATCCAGCGTTGGCAGCTGTTGAAGATTTTATTTAACAGTTTTTTTCAATAATATTATGCGTTTTATTAGGAATACTCTTCAAAAACGTCTTGTGTGAATAGTACTACCAGAACCAATATAACATAAATAACAATTCAATTTCTTAATTCATTCATACAGTAGTATCGAAGGGTTTATTGTAAATTTTTTAATATTCCTTAACATTTTTATATTCTGTTAATAAATGTTTATTGATTCTAGAGAAATTTCTGAATTCTTCTTATAAATTATACTATTATTTTGTTTATTCAATAGATCAATTATATATCAGATAATGTAACCATTGGATTGAATGAATACAATATATATGATTATTGTGGTGATGTTAGTAGTATAATGAATCAAAACGTTGAAAATTTATATTCATTATCAAATATTCATTCTATGTTTCAACATAGTGATTTTGGTTATCTCTTTGAAAATAATACATATATTCAAAAGAAGCGTGAATTACTGTAAGTTCTTCATATAACTATACATACTCATTGATATCTGAATTTCTTCATTACATTTGATTTCTTTCTAATTGAATACTCTAAAATAAACACTTCATAATAACAAGATGTGATTTCAGTACTATTAAGCTGTATATTTATGAATATTATTGTTACAGTGGGAAGAATGTTCCAGAATTGTTTCCGGTCAGGAGGTAAAATATATTGAGTAACTAAAGGAAGTTAGTTAATGCACATTTATGTTTAGACAAGGAATTGTGGTGGACTAGATAATGCAACAAACAGTGAGGAGCGAGAAGAGAAGGATGCGCTGGACACCGGTAAAGATTGGATTTCGCCGATAACTTGTGTTTAATGTCGCACAAACTTGAAGATCTACAGGCAAAAACTAACAAGTTGACAGAAGAGGCGGGACAGGGCAGCGAAGATGGGACTTCAAGTGAATATAGAGAAGATAAAGGTGATTAAGATACCCAACCAACAACAACAAGCTCCAATCACCATCAACGGGAGAAAGTTCAAGGAAGTAGCCTCCTTCACCTACCTAGGCAGAGCAGCACTGTTTCAACTACAGACAGAACAGGCACAAACGACGACGTCACAGCAGACAGCATCAGAAAGACAGCAAGACAGGTGTTCATTAACCTGAAATCAGTGTGGAGATCTACTGCACTGCACTGCACTCCACTGCACTCCACTCAGCATAAAGTGTGAACAACATCTGGATTTTCAACACCAATTCAGTCAAGTCATTCAGTGTTGCTATGTGGTGGTTGAGAGACTTTGCACGTTACGAAAAGCATTTCCGACAAACTACAGACACTCATGGACAACTGCCTACTCTGTCTGGATACTGTAGATTAGATGGTGAGAATAATGAGAATAAGCAACAAGGAACTCTGACTGGGTGGCTGGCAACGAACTAACGAATCAAGAACCTATCACCCAACAAATATGCAGTGAAACGAAGTGGAGATTGATTGAGCTTGCACTGAAATGACCGTTCGGGGACATCACGCCCCAGGGCAGATCGTCGAGTAGAACCCAAATGGTTAAAGACGAGTTGGGCGTTCGAGGTGAGGATGATATGGAGGAGATCGTGCGAGGAGGAAATTAGAGCTTCTGAGGTGTCGTCGAGGCAGGTTCAAAAGATTGCTGAAAACAGGGTGGAATGGAGACGTGCTACAAAGCTGTTTTTCCATTAGGAACCCAAGCGACAAATAATAATTATAATAATAATATATATGCATTAAGATTTTCAAAGCGAAATATATCAACATATTTATTTGGATAGGTAAGTAATTCAGCTTAACTGTTAGAAATGAAGTGAAATTTATGCATAAAGGCGATAGTGTTGATAAATGTTTGTCAATGTCATAATTTAAAAAGTAACTTTTGATATCTTGGCTGAAAATCTACACGAAAAGCACTAGGAATTTTATAAGATGATTGAAGTTTACATCACATGTTGTTTGGATACCTCTAGTAGCACTTTGATACGGTCTATGAATTATCACATTAATCCTTTAGGATTAACCTAACTAATTATTTTGTTTTCAGTATGTCATGTTAGGAGGTGTAGGTTTCTCAAAGTCTCTTTGCAGGTTCGCCCGTATACATTCAGTTGGTTGGTTGGTTGGTTGGAGACGAGTTACAGGAAGTCGTCAATCTAGGTTTCATGCTTGTTGGCACTTATCAACAAGGCGTCTCTCCAACTTCGATGGAACTTATATCCTACCTGTGATTTGAATCCATGTTATCAATGTTGTAGTCAGAGAATTTACTATTGAGTTATTCGAACTGGATTAAATGTATTGATTGGTCACAGAAGTGGAATCAATTGCATGTTTTCTAGTCCTGAGTGCAGACCGAATTTTATTTGTGAGGTGGACTATGAGTTACGTTGAGGTTGTAGATACGCCTTACTGACGAGTGTCAACAAGCACGAAATCTAGGTGGAGGGCTTCCTGTCGATTATCTCCAACCAATTAACATCTACTATGTGCACCACGATGCTGAGCCTCCTAGCTTGATCTCCCGTGACCAATCAATGCATATATATATATATATATATATATATATATTCAGTTGAAAATGAGAAGAAAAAACCACTGAAAAATGATCAGTTATTATCATTTTGATCATATCGCATATAGTCATCATTCAGCAACTTATTCAGGTCATTATTATTCGTCTTTTTTGTCTATCGAATATACAGAGATACTTATTTTCCCCAAAATGATATCAATTAAACGATCTTTAGGAACTTGAGTAGACTGAACAGACGCATTATCCTACTTTGAGTGCGCACTGCTGAGGAGTCCCATACTAGGACGAAACAGCTGTTCAGTGCTCTCAGGTTTCTTTTTTTCCTCCAACTGAAGTCAGTCTAAAATGAATAAGAACTTGAAATATTTTCAAATCCCCACACCTCCCTCAAAAATCAATATTTCAAATGATTTGTTGACGCTTACCTCGGAAGTGTCTCTAACTAGAAACAGAATTGTTCCATAGCGCACAGTAATACACTATTTTTTACTTGCTAAAATATCAATATGTACACACAGCATTCGACATCTGATTTTGATTATCCTATCACCGTGCTTTTCCTCACAGTCAAGCTTCCTTCTTAAAACAACTTGATGTAAACTATGATCACGAGGCCTCACAATGTATCTGATGTGAGGTACATACATAGTTCCGTACGTCTGTCTCACATAGCAGGCATACAAGACATTCATTTGGTGAATTAATCCTGAAATATCATCACCAGCTGAATCTTGAAGCTTATTTAATACAGTGTCTGACCAATTATTTAAGCGTGCCTGACCCAACTCTTGTAACAACTTCAGTCACTTACCGCCTGCAAAAATACTGAATGGTTGATAGACCTCTCTTCATCACAAATACACATACAAGTGAGTATTTAGAGCCTTCACCCAATAGAGATATTGGTCAAATTTATTTATTGACAACACTGATTCATGACCTATCTCGACATGGGACTGAAAACTCATGGATATTACAACACACATGTAGAAGTTTGCACCATTGGGCGTAGTCCGCATCGTTCACATTGCTCTCCTCAATAAATCCATAAGACTACACAAAATGTCATTAGCCATTGGATGTGTTAAACTTGTCTTGAACTGATAAGTGACTGGAGAAATCATAGATTCTCATGGAAACATCAAACAAGTGAGGTTAAGATTTTTAATTGTCGAAGGTGAAGTAAGAAATTAATATGACATTCAGTTGAAGATTGAGAAGATGAAAGAAATCGGGGACGTAGAATGTTGACGAGTTATTATAATTATTTTTTCTATGGGTTCTTAGTAGGATATACGGCTTTACTAGCACGTCGCCATTTCACTCTCTTCTCTACAGTCTTTTTCTTTAACCTGGCTCCACCACTGCTGACAACTTTTCATTTCATTCTCACACAATCTCCTCTATGTATTTTTGGCTCGGATACCTAACTCGTCGTTTTATATTTAGCTAAATTCCTATATTCCGCTACTTTAACTGACCCCGATCGGCTAGTTTCACCTATGTATGTGACCTCGCAGTCATTACATGGAATTTAATAGATTCGATTGTTTTGCTGAATTAGTTCTATCGGATTCTTAAGCCAGTCGACAAAGTTTATCTCTATGGTTGAGTTTGTTAAGTTTGAATGTCACTCTCATTTCAGCTTTCTTGATGATCTCATGTAAAGCTTCTCATATCTGTCTGTAGTAAAATAAAAGTTTCTCTCCGTGATATATCAGTTAATCTATGGTAAAAAGTGTCTTGAAAACAACCACACTTTTCTACAAAGCAATCAAACATTTTATATACTTAGAAGTAGTATTCATCATGGACTGTCATCAGTTGGGAAACCATTGGAAATCTGGAAGCACTGGACAGCTATTTCATCCAAGTGTGGGACCCGAGACCCTAGGTGATATGGCTCAGAACCGAAGTCAGTGTCGCAGATGTATGTATACACACATTATCCTCATCTTAACGACGCTATACCGAATCTCACCATTTTGTCACTCCTCTTTCCTTTCTTCTCGTACTTTATATTTCTTTTGACTGCATTCACTTATCTTCATCCTTCACCTCACTATCTTTTCACTTGATGTGCTGATATGAGGTGTGGCAACTCGGACCGTTACGCAGTAATGCCTGGTCCTATGTAGATAATGATGATGATGATGAGTATGGGACTCCTCAGCAGTATTCACCCGCAACCCGGCTAGAGGTCGAACTCAGGACCTTCAGGTTTCACGGCGAGCGCGTTAACCATTCAGTCACCATTGTGAACCACTGGGAACCACCCCGGTAGCTAGATGGTTAACGCATTCGTCGTGAAACCTGAAGGTCCTGAGTTCGACCCCCTGGCCGGGTTGCGGGTGCATAATGCTTAGGAGTCCGATACTAGGACAAAACAGCTGTCCAGTGCCCCCAGACTTCCAATGGTTCCCCAACTGATGACAGTCCATGATGAATACTACTTCTAAATTAAAATCCCCATTCATCTCAATAATACACTATTTTATATATTTATCATATGTTTTATTGATACTGGAAACATCAAGTATATTATTTATTTAGGTCATCTGAACTATTTTATAATTCAAATGAAAACTGTGTGACACTTGATTCATTATTTACATAAAATGATTATTAGATTAATCTTGAATATTTATTTAAAACTAACTCTTGGACTGTATAACAATTGTATAGCATACAAATAAGTATATAGACTTTACAAAAATAAGATAAAAAGGTATGAACCATTTATTATACAGTTTATACACAGATAATACTGTCTAGTTTCAACACTTTTCATACATTAATTCAGTTCGAGAAAGTATAAGTATGAATGAATAACTATAGATTTCAAATCCCAATAGCTTAGTGGATAACGCTCTGGAGTTTCAAATAATGAATACTTAATTCAACTCTCACTGGGGTGTAAGTACATCCGGCTGATGAGTCCAAAATGAGAC